TTCCTAGTGGAATCATCCAGGATTTAAAGCTGTTGCATTTCAGGTTGTATCTTCCAAGTCAGCTGTCATCAGGTCTCTCGCTCCTAGGGATTTCTCCAGCATGCTTTACAGCACTGCATCCCTCCACCCAAAGCACCCAGACTTCGATTGATGAGCTTATTGCTAGCAGTGAGGACAGATTTATGCCACTGAATGAACAGCCGCTGCCCTCCTTATGAGTCGCTCTGTCATTGGTGAATTTGGTCTCATCACATCACGCTCTCTCAGGAGGCACCTGAAAAAGGAGAAGTAGCAGGAAAACGGGAAGAAAGTCACTGAGCACATCGCTTTTCCCATAAGACTGTCAGCAACAGCCCTACAAGAGCAGGAAGACAACACCTAAAGACCTGCTCTTGATTTCCTTCACTGAAAACATCTGGCCTTGGCAGTCAGATCAGGCAGAAGAGTTCTTTCCAACACTGACACAGACTGAAAACCAGCACGCAGAGGGCACAAAACAGTCGTTCTGATATTCTATCTACCACTCGTGTTTCAAAAAGACTTCAAGAGGCAAACAGGCAAGGCTTCACGCTGTCCTGAGGAGACAGGCGTTCCTTTAAGTGCACAGCAGGCTCAGTTAACAAATTTAAACAGAACTCTCAGCAGGACAATGAGGAACACCTATGATTTCTACTAAACAAAACTCTTGTGATTTGCACGAAAGCAAGCAGGCATATCAGAATCTGTTCATCCTATTTGCCAGGAAAACAGCTGCTAGCATGAGGATAACCTTGATTTCCAGCAGGTCACCAAACCTTAGGAGTCCATTAAGTACACAACCAAGCGGCAAGATGCCACAGGGTAAGACAGAACATCTGAAAGTCAACTGCCCTTCAACAAACACAAACGAATCATCCATACTGTAAGACTGCCCTTCGGGAACAGACAGCTACTGCGCTTCCCATCTTAGTTAAGTGCTACTGCATTCAGCGCGAATGCTTGCGTGTAATTTCAGCACGGACGCAGTTGTTTGGAGCTACTCTGCTACATCCTGACTTTAAAACAGTCCTGTCACCACAGAAAGAAAAAATTACCAGGAAAAATACTCACTTAGCGAGGTTTTGTTTGGCTTGGGATTTGCAATTTAAAGCAGCATGAATCAATAGCTGGCTGAAAATATCCCTCTGAAAAAAGAAGTGAGTCCAGAGCTAAGTTAGTAAGTAACCGAGAAAGTACTGCTGGTTACAAAACAGCCCCCAAGTGAAGTTTTCCTCTTGGCATTTCCTCATAGCTGACACTGCTGGTAAGTGCTGGCAAACAGGACTCAGTCACAAGCACAGCTCGCTTGTTCCCTTTTCCAGGAATCAAGGGCTCTTAATAATGAAAGCACCTAAGGGAGGCTACTGAAAGTGGACCCAGTCACATCTCGGGTCACATCTTCTGTTGATGTCCTTTACCTGAGCATTACTGCCTCCTAGCTGGATCAGTTGGTAACGGATCGGGTACAGCAGATCTACAGCTTTGTCACAGTTCCCATTCTCAAACTCCACCAAAGCCTGCAGTAATGGCAACCCCACACTGGGAGCCAGAGAAAGCTCGTGGTCTTCGCCAGGTTCTCTGTACAACGAGAAAGTGATTAACTCTCATCAATCAAATCAGAAATACGCATATTTAATGCCAGCCTGGCACTGCCTGCAGACAGAATTACTTCTGAGTCAACCAAGCGTGATATTTCAGGTACCATACTTACACGGTTACTTTTGCTGAGGTTATTTTACTTGCACCTTTTTATTATGGTGCAGTGCTTGTGGTGGCAATGGTGATGAGAGACGGTTGGACTAGAACTCTTATATGTTGTTACCAACCTTGTGACTCTATGATTCTAGGATTACTCATCAGTCAATCAGATTTCATCCTTCTGCACACATTCACACACGTCACAAGCCCAAGCCTTTGCAACATATCACCTTGGCTGGGAAAAAGCCAGAGAACTCTGCCCTGATTTTAATTCTGATCAAGGTGTGAGTGAAATACACAACGCTGTTAAGTTGAACAGCTTCAATGCACGATTCACGCAAGTAAGTGAACTCGAAAGCTCAAGAACTATTCCAGCACTGCTTAGAAACCAATTTCCTAGAGAGGGACTATGACAGTCTCACTACCAGCTAACTGTTACTTTCTCTGAAAACAGAGCAGAAAGAACCAGCACAGACAGCTGGCACACTGCACAGTGTCCGTATTGTTATACAGGTGAAATCCTTTATCGCTGCACATAACGTAACTTCGTACGAACACACAGCAAGAAAATACAAGGCAAACGTTCCGTAGTGGCTGTGACAAACACAAGAGATTCTTGCTTAGCACGAACAGAAGCTCCTCTCGACATCAACTCACAAAAAGAATTACAGAGATGACCTAAATGGACACCGCTCTATTTAAACCAGGCCTCACCCAGGGAGGCAGCAAAGCAGAGAGGAGCGTGTGGGAACACTTCTGCAAGCCACACAAACCATCCCTCAGATGCTCAGAGGCCAAAATATTTATTCAGCACAGTACTTTAGTTCACGTAACCTACTTGGCAAGTTCTTGAAGAGTTGTTAAAAGCTCATTCGTAGTTTTGTGGTCTTTGGCTCCAAGTGAGGACATCAACACGTGTACATCATTGAAAAGAAGAACGTGGTCTTTGCTGTGCTGCTTTGCACGCTTCAGGACATTGTCCCACCTGTCTCCAAGCTTCACACCTATCAGTAAAAGATATCATTTAAATAACACCACCAAGGGCAAGAGCATTGCTTAGTAGTATGTATCAGCATCATGTGCCATGGATAGCACTGCTACTGAACTCAAAAACACAGTCTCTGACATGGCAAAATTATACTGCAATGTTTAGTTACAGCCTGCCTTATCCGGGCAAAGGGTTCACTGACTGTCAGTAATTTATCACCAATACTCTACACTGCATTATGGGAGGATCTCTCTTCTTTAAGAGATTGCTGCCATCTGCCTGGAGATGATGTTCATTCCAATTCACCCACAGCAATCAAATAACGCAGAGTCATAAGATGAATTTCATAAATAAACCCAATACACCATTGGTCTTTCAGTAGCATACAAGTAAAGTCACTCCTCTTTGCCTTGTTCAGGAATACAAATTTTAGCTTTGAAAATGTAACAAGAAATGCCAACGAGTTACAGGAGTACACAAAAGCCAGAGGCTAATCAATATCAAAATATGAAGTATCTAATTTGAAATTTGCTTAGAGAAAGCTCTATAGCTTTTTTAGAGGCTAACATACTTGATTTTTCATCCTCACATCTCCAGGGACAATGTAAGCTGAACTTTGAAATAAATAAATACGTGACCCACGTTAGCTTAAGCTGAATGAGATACTAACTCTATTCCACCCAAACCAATTCAGCTTATTATTATAAATATCACACTGGGGCTTTTCTCAGGAGCAGAATGGCAAGATTTCTTCTGCAACACTGACCAAGCTTGCTCTCTAAGTGTCCTTAAACACTTTTCTGACATGCCAGGGTGTGTGTTGGAGGGGGAGACAAAAAGAAAACCGTTCCCCTTACTGTTTAAAAAGAATTACAGTTGGATATCCTACCTTCCAGGTGAAGCCTGTACAGCATCGAAGAGCTATCTACTAAATCCAGCATGCTTCTACCCGACAGCAGCCTGGGAGCTATCTGTAATCACAAGTGCTCATAAGCTGTGCTACCAGGAACTTGCTCAGATAATTAAACTTACATGCACTGCACAAAATTATGGTAGGTTTCAATTTCTTGCAGAAGGAAGAAAACACATATCACAATCTGCAGCATGCCCTTCAATAAATATAAAAGGCTCCTACTCACATGGTTGTCATAAATTGTCAAAGCGGCCTCATGTTCCCCCTGTAAAAGCAAACAAGGACCATGTGATTAATATTCTGGAAGACTAAGCAAGAGTGATGGGTAGCAACCAAAGATATAAATACAATTAAGAAATGCCATAACATTACTTCCTTGTCTCATGATTTCAGAAACAAATAAACAAACATAAAGAGAGAAAAGACCAAGATAAAGCAGGATCTACTAGCTAAAATAACCAGTATATTCAGTTTTCATTTAATAAAGAGAACAAATACTGACGTGTGCTCCACACAAAGGAGAAAGATGAGGTTTCATCTCTTTCTCATCTTTCTTTCAGGATTCTTTGCAAAAAAATACTGTTTCATAAAACATGCACTTTCTTAAGCAAGCTGTAAAAAAAATCTGTATGGACAGAAGGTGGCAAAACAAACAAGGTACTAGACTACTGTTGAGAGCTACGCTTTCTATGTCATTACTACGAAGCATAAACAACTGACACTGTGTTCTGACCAAAGGACGGCACCTCTGCAATGACACTGGGCTCAATTCATTAAGGAGACAAATGTGACCAGTGCTAAGCATTATGAACTCCAAGGAGATTCTGCACTGCAACCTGATATGCGGGGCAAGTTGCAATCGTTACTAAAGAGTTTCACTAGATCCTAAATCACTTGAATTACAGAGATTGAACTACAGAGATTAGTGTCTTGTTTCAGCCAGTCAATTTTGAGGTCAGCAGCTTTGCACCGAATTTGAAGAGAACTTTCTGTAATTTTGTTTTCTAAAAATAGGTGATCCAAGTTCTTATATCCATCAAATAATCGTGCCAGGTGTAATCAGTGAGATTATTTCACAGCAATCCTCCAACATTCTAGCAAAGATAATGGATCTTTGTTCAGTGTAATTAGAAGTTGCCAAAATAATGGTACTACAGGACTATCCTGTAAAAACATCACTGTGCTATTTTATAACAGCATCCCTTGAAATAACCTATAAATCCCTATACATGCTAGGACTGCCTTTTAACTAGCATTGGATGAATTCTCTGTCTGGACCATAAATCATCAGTAGGAAAATATCTCATACCTTTTCCATAAAGTATAAAGCCCAGTGCCAGTAATTGTGGCAAGCAAGCATATCACTGCCCTGCAAAAAAGAAAAAGCAGAGAAATATTATGGTTTACACAATAACTTCTCATCTCAACATACCTAGGCGGATTTCGGTTTTCCTCTTCAACTGCCGAGTGCTCCAAAAGACAGGACAGACAAGAACTTCACATCTGCTGGCCTACATGAAATCTCTCACTCTTTCACTCGCTCCTTTCCAATTCAGGCAGACACTACAAAAACCAAAGTTTCCCCAAGTCTTTTTCCAGAGAAGAACTGCGCTTGGATGCCTCAGGAGAATTCACCCTTTTGCAGCACTCCTTCGGAAAAAAGTCCACAAACTGTCTATCACAAGAGTAAGATTTGTCTCATCTAACATGTAAGGGTCTTGACTGAAGCAATGTGGCTAGACAGCGTGCAGGAAAGGCCCACCTTATGAGGGCCATTCCTCCTACTCACCTAGATTTCCATCTCAGACTGAGTAATCA